ATCGCAATCGCTGCTGTCATACTAGACCAAGTAATGGAGTGCGTGGACTACCCATTGTACCATCCCTGTTGTGATATCTAACGTTGACCAGTCACCTCGTAACCCTGGGATTCCCGTCTTCACCTGTTCTCTGGCCCCGCGCGGCGGAGGAACTGGTTACAAAGACACATCGCGACTACAAGATAAACGCATTGCGCGTCCTTCGTACTTCGGTCGCTCTCGTCCGTTGCTCGGGCGGCTTGGACAGCTTGGTAGATCAGGTCGACACGAGCCTGAACATGGGAGACGAAGTAGCTGAGATGTTCAATCAGGTCCGTGTCTCATGCGCCTTGTCCGCCCCATTGTCTAACACGATCAGAATAGCTTGCGGACCTCTGCAGCGCTCACGCCGAACGTATTTCCTTGACTTATTTGCAGGCGTTGGAGGAAATGCTTCTTTCGATCGAAGAAAGTCTTTGCAAGGCGGGCGAAGCCATTAGCACCGTTATAGGCTTCATCGACGCCAAAGGCGAGCACGTGAAGCTGTTGGGACATTTACAGGTGCGTAGCTATGGTCATCCGATACCCCGGCATAACACTCAGATCCGTTCTGCAGGCGACCGCCCATTTCGATCGCATTGCCTCCTCCCTCCAAGGCCCTCCACCCGCCCAAGAGTTAAGCGCAGTCGCGCGGGACGCTTTGAATGTGTTGCGGCTGACGCTGCACCCGATATTTTCCCTGGTGGATAGGAGCGGCGAAGAGGTCGAGCGTGTGGTGGCCGAGCTTCGTTCTCTTGGCGTCGAGGAGGTGAATCGTGGCGTTGTAGACGATAAGATGACTGGCCTGGTGCGCATCCGTGACGATCTTGGTGTCCTCCAGGAGGTCCAACCGGCTCGGCTAGCGACCTTTTCCGTAGGCATCGTCTCACAATTTTACGCTGACCCTGCTGACCACATGTGCTCTTGCCCATCAGCGGGCGCTGCAATCCCCTGCGGCGGTTCCCATCTCTATCCGCGATGAAGCGTTTAATGTCGACTTGGAGTTCCTTGACGCTATGACGGTGTCTTTGACCTTCGCACAAGCTGACGACACCATGAAGGAAGTTGTCGGAGGGGTAAGACCTGACCCTCGTTTGCGGCGTACTTTTGAGGCTGACGTCCTATGGAGCTCCAGCAGGTGAAAGCCCTGCTACAGAGATGGCTCCCTCGGTTCTTTGCACCCAGTGTATGATCTGCCGCAGGAGTGAAGGCCGCCGGAGGCCATACATGAGACGATCTTCCGGTACATCCGCGTCGTCGCTCGTAAAGGCAACAAGAAGCTTCATCTTCCCAACACCCCCTCTCCCTCTTTTTCCCTGTTTCCCCCATTTCTCCCCTCTCCGCGAGTGTTTCTGTCTCTTTTTCGTTCGGTTTGGAGACGACGCCGCATCGTCCGCTCGCAGTAGGCTCTCCCGATCGCACCATGTATTACGATTGGTGCTGTATAATCCATCGCGTACCTTCCCAATACACTCAGTTATCTGTTCCGCTGGGGTAGCTAGCAAAATGCAGCGCTCAGGTGCAGCAGAGTCAGGCTATACAGCCATCAGGCAACGCTTGCGTGAACCGCCCAGTGTGCGTTCTTGGGCTCCAGCCGGCCCGTGGGTTGAAGTAAGTAGCGCCCTGGCTTCGTGGCGCGCGACATCATCGCTATGCGCCATTGCGCCCGCGCGCCCACCACTACGTGGGCCCCCGTCGCCCGACTCTCGTGCGAGACTTGAGTCTGTCTGCGGGACGACACTGCATTTGTTCTTCTGCTCACCTTCCGCAGCCTGGGCAACGATGAACTCTCTGACGGCACGCATGCTGGCGTTGGCCTCCGAACTGTCTCCGTACTATGGCCGCATGCATACCCTCCATGGCTCAAGTCCGAGCTCGAAGCACGCGACGTCGAGTTCATCCGCAAGCGCGTCGCCACGCTTGGCAAAGCCGCCGCGCTCGCGGGCCTTAACGGCGTGCTCTTCAAGGCTAGGCTGGGTGCGTAGCTGCTTTGTCATGCGCCAGGAACAGAGTGCAGGTGACCACTTACTGACGGGTGTGCTTTGGCAGGTGCACGAACGCCTGCATTCACCTTCGTGCATATATCATCACCGTTGTGCCTTAGTAGTAGCTGCTGCTCTCGTAGCGCTGAGGTATCAGCCGACAACGACTAGGCTCGTCCCCATCCGTTTCGGCGTCGACAAGTTGAAGGTACCGAAACGGCTGGGCTGACTGGTCGCCCTTGAAGTACTTAAAGGGCGACCAGTCCGATTGGTGCGGGTATCTGTATACTTTAAAGCATCAGCACGAGTGTTTCCCACCGTCAGAGGCAGCAGTCAGGTCCGTGTGGGGACCTCTACCGCTGTCTCTCCGGTGGAAACCGCGAAGAAACCATGACCAGCACTCACTTAGAAGTTCCCGAAAGACATGCGTGCATCTGAGAGGTAGTATGACCTACCCTTGCAGCAAGCCTGTCTTGAATGAGGCTCAGTAGGGCCTCCGTGAGCGGGCGCACAAATCTTAAAAAGCGCTTCCATAAGGGTTTATATCCGTGTTTTAGGAGCAATACGAGAGTCCTGGAGGAGCAGATAGTCAGATATAATATTTTCAAACATGCTTGAGACCTACTGGCACGGTTCAGAGAGCGGAGCGTCGACAGGGAGCCTATTAGTAGGAAATTCGGAGATTCCTGGGAGAGCGAGAATATTTGGGCAAGTGTTTGTTCCCACGATGGGCGTCTGTTTGCCCCGGCAAAAGGGCGGGCGGCCACTGGCTACGACCACTCGTGACTCAGCCCAGCCTTGCGCTCTCCTCGCGTCCTCCTGAATCCTCCTCTCCGCCCCTCTTGGAAGGCGCTGTCAGATGCTTACGATCGGACTGTCTAGCCAGTCCACCGACACCGTTCACGACACGTGTCGATCGCGCGCCAGATGGGCCACCTCGGATGATAGCTCGGCTATGCGCACCCGCCATACCTCTAGCACCTTCACGGGCATTCCTAACAGCCTTCCGGTCGTCCTGGCGCCATCCTTCGTGTACACCCCTACGTCATGGCATTGCGTGCAGTGTGGCATACACGACTTTATTCTCGCGTCGAACGCGTTCTGCGCTACGCATGTCAGTGACTGCACTTACGGCTTCAATCCTTTAGAAGTCATCCGAATGAAACTTGATGGAACTCCATAGCATCGCGTTCGGAGGCGCAACATTCAGCACAGACGGCTGAATTTAGGGCGCGTGATAGTGCTTGCCCAGATGCTCTTGTATCATATCATGGTGAGCAAGGTGCGACGCGGCACCCCGTACATGATGTACGCCGATGTAACTCATGGTACGTGTGCTGCATGCTGAGCCAACCTCGCGGCGCTCACTGATCGCGATCATGTTCAAGAACAACCAACGCTACCTCGGCACCATTCGCGCGACGAACCTTTACATGGGAATGGTGCGGTTCAGAGCAAAAAAACCTCCACTCTCGTATGTGCGCTGTCTTCGATGCTCCCCACCGCTCATAGTGGTCATGACGCACTGCACGGATCGAGTCCTCGGCACTAACGATTATTCTTCACATGAAGCCCGCTCATCGGCGGTGCCAGGGACTTGCCCTACAGACGTCGACAAGCAAGCCCTCGTCGACGTATTCCGGATGATGGGCATGCCGTGTAGATCAGACGAAGCTCGACTACCCAACCTCAACATTTTCGAGACCTCCATGATAGCTGAGCGAGCTGGGCACGCGGCTGATTCACGCGTCTCTCTCTCTGCTCCCACCTACCACCTCTAGCAGTTGCTTTCGCTTCTACAGCGTATTTCCGCCTAACTCGGCGACTGGGGTTGCGAGAGAGAGAACAATGCAGCGTACTTCCCACACACGACGACTGCCTGCGCATCATCGCACCCTCGGCGGCGCTGGTGGGATATCTGTGGCCAGGGCGGGCCACGCACCGATTCCCGCAATCTACGCGACTGTCACTACAAGGCGTCGTCCTCGGGTGTGCACGGTATCCAGGGTGGTGAGTGCGCTTGCTCGTAATCTGTCTCGAATCCGCTGACGAGGTGATGCGTACGGCAGGTATCGCCGAGCCCAGCACTCAACAGCACGTAGTGCAGAACGCGGCCCCGGAGGCGTCGTGCGCGGCTAGCGGCGACTGCGCCTGCGACTCGACCCATCGGAATGCCTCTCCGTGCGACCCAGCTCCCCTAGCGCAGCATCTGCTGCCTCGGGTGTAGACGTCGTGGAGATGGCTGAGAGGGTCGTCGTACGACGTACGTTTGTCTGTGCGCCGCGGCGGGGGCAGGCATCCCGCCATCGATTTGGACATCATCCACCTCGATGCTACAGCCTGCGCAGTAGCCGTTTCAAATTGCTTATGCGGCGATGTAACGTCCACTAAATGAAGTCTCCCCTTTCATGTCCGCATGCGTGTAGCAGCGTACCGATGCGCATCATACGAAGTGTCGCGAACCTCATTCCAATCGCACCGTTGCATTACATCCATATCTACCGTGCTTCAGCATACCTCTCTATCCTTCCTGGCCCTAACTTCGCCTCTAGGCTCGATTGACCTAGTCAGCCAGAATGCTCCGTAGGATCTCTTCCATATTATCCACCAAGCGAGGCTGAATCTGCTTCTCGAACCCGTCCCACAGCCACAACTCGTACCATACCGCTCTCACGATATTGTCGTAGGCGCGCTACAAGGGGATGTGGTTAACGCTATCTTTGAGAGAGACCAACACGTTAAACCCGTACACTGTGCATGAGGTGTAAGTACGCATGGACTTCAGCCATAAGTCGGAACGCTTGGCGTTCCTGTGCATCTGCCAGGACCGAAGCGTAGGTGGCTTCGAACTGTGTCGCCAGGAGTTCTAGGTCTTCCGTCCACAAGGTGTACGGCCGCCGATGGTACGCCACGAATTGGGCGACAATCGGGTGGGTCTTGGCCTTCAGCGCCTCCAAAAGTTGCAAGATTTCGGACCTATGTGTACAGTGAGCACAACTTCCAGCGCAGTTGGATGATATCACCTACTTAACGCTCGCACGCACTTCTTCGTTCGGGGGAAGATAGACGTCTAAGTTGGGAAGCACGACGTCTTGGATCTTGTCGTGCACTGTATCCACGTACGCGCGCGCGTAGCCGCCCCAATTGGTAACAGCAAGCTGGATTTGAGGAAGCTTGAAGACCTCCCGAGCGGCGTAATATGAGTCCCACCCAGCACTGTGCACATGGTCAGTATATTACCAGTCCCCAAGTAACAATTACCTGTGCTACATACCGCTCTAGGCACTGCTGGAGATCCTCTAGCGTGATTCTGTTGGCTCCGGGTTCAGCCGTTCCCCCATCTGGGATCCACTGAGGAATCGCAGCCTTCATCTGGTCGGCCATTGTCTTGTTAGCGGCGCGCTCAGCTAGCACGACCTCGGGCGACGTCGCGTCTTCGGCTAACTTCTTCCCAATGCGGTAAACGGCGTTGAAGTACTCTAACTTCTGCTTGTTGTTCTACTCGCAAGTCAGCATTCTACCGAAGATCGAAAGGCGTATTGAGACTGACCATGGTCACTGATCTGTGCGTTGTGAGCGATACCATCTGGGCACAGCGGTTCTACGTGGCATATAACCTTGGCATATACAATGGTCTTTGTATACGGAGGGTTGAAAGAACGATGCTGTGTCATCGTGCGTTGAGCAGGAATTATGACGACAGCTTTGGAAATGACTCTTGCGAAACAAACAACATTGAACACAGACTCACGCTCACTGACATTGCGCGCGCGGCGCACGGACGACCGCACCCAGCACAACAGCGTGACCAGTTCCGATTCTTCAAAACTTCAGGCTTCGTATTCACGAATCACTTCTGAAGTTCCGAATTCCTACCAGGGGCCCTAAGTTTTTATCAGTTCGATAGGTCCCTGTCGGAAAAACATACATATAGCTAGAAGTCTCCGCGTGTGGCGGATAAGTTAGCAAGCACCGCCGGGACGTACGTGGGTCTGCCAGGCTTGTAAACCGGCGTCCTCCCGGCATCGTCACGCAAGACCGCCGTCCATAGTGCTTTTGGCAAGGGCTTAGTCTCCCCTAGGCAGCCCTTCCAATGTGCTTTGTTGGCATGATGAGGGTGGGCAGAGATTTAGAGACGTTGAACTTGTAGTGGCAACTTCAAGGGCCGGTAAATCGGTACCGATTCTCACGCTCGGTCCCCTCCGTCGTACATAGCCGCCCGGTTTACACGTTCCCTAGTACCAATCGTCGACTAGTACTAGTGTTACTCCACTGGACGCATTTCCAAGCGGGATATTAACGTCTCGTACTACCTTCAACTCACTGACACACGACAAGGTTTGATTCTGCTACACTCGTACTACAGGCTACGCTCAGCCGGGTCTGACTCGACGTCAGCGGCGTTGACAGACATGCGCCATATGTGAGTTCGAATGCGTGCTCTTGTCTTCGGTTTCAACCAACATCTCTAGTAGCCTTTCAACCTCTGAGTACATTTCTCCGTTTCTCAGCCCGCAGGTGCTACGCAATGCTCGGCTCGCTCCCTGAACTGCCGGACGAGATCGAAGGCGAGTACCCCTGCTCTGCGCGTCCGTTGAAACTTACTCTGAGCTTCAACCAGAGATGATCGTTACGAAAACAGCGCTTTCACGCGTGAAGTCAGGCAGCAACAGAAAGTGCGGTGAAAAGGATAAACCAGTGCATTATCGCAGCTAGCATGATGTCGCGCCTGCCAAAACCGTGCGAGAAAAAGTGAACATCTATGCATGTTTTGTTCCAAACCTGCGACGTCACCGAGTCGGCCATGGGGCATCTGGTTCGCGGTCTAGATTGCTACCGTCCATACCCTGAGCCGTCTACAGCCACACCCGTCCCCGAAGTCGTGAGCATGGACGGCCGTTGTACAAGACAAGCTCCCCGTTCGAAGGCCGTCACTGCGGTTGCCAAACGCCAAAGCCTTACCCATGCACACCTGCAAAGCTAACTGTGTCAGGAACAGGTCAGCGATTATCGATCACCCCGGGACCCTAGAAATACAAGAACTGTTTGCCTCTGACAGCCTCATCGTTCGGCCTGTTCAGACAAAACTGAGCCCCTGTTGTTCACTTTCGGGTTTGGCCTCCCGCAAGACCTACTAGATAGCCGGATTCGCGTCGCGATGACGCTATGCCTTGACTGGTGATGCGTTCCCTTCTCCTTGTGTATTTCTATCACTCACAGTTCGCCTTTCCTTACGACTAGGCCTTCGTATCTACGTGCCTTGATTGGTGCTAAATAACAGTTGTAGTGAGTGGTCCACGTCGTCCACACAGCACGGACAACAATTTGCGTAGCTAGCAGGACCTCAGCACCCTGCCTAGCGCTGTGACAAGCCTCTGAACAAATTTGTATAGCCTACAGGCTCGTAAGCCAAGACCCGAAGCTGAAGTCACGCCGAACGTGGTGCACGCGCGTCAGAGTAATTCTCTTCCATGACACGTTCAGGTCTCAGGACGACGTAAGCCAGCGGACGCCATATGCTGAGAGACATAACGGAATCAACATACCGCCTTGTCAATGTCCAGCCATGATACGCTTCTTCTGCACGTCATGCCACGGTGCCTAACGCGATATTGGTACTTCTGGTCCTGCTTCTTGACATGGTGTTGCAGCTGGGCGCTGAGGGACAGCCCGTTGCGCGCAACGGAGATGAGACCCTGGGTATACAACGCTGGCGGTCTCAGTTGGTGACAGAACCCCGCTGTATGTTTGACTTGGAAGACTGCAGCGCTATCCGCGGACCTGGGTCGCGAGGGAGGTGTCGCACGACGCTGTCACGATGTGATGGCCCGCGGTGTCAGTACCGTACGGAACAGGAACCGGAACCGGAACGCCACGGAATAGTGCATTGATGAGTCGCGCGATCGAAGTTGGAGAACGTGGATGTCAGTAAGTGCGTTTATCATTGGCCTGATGCAGAAAATGGCTGAAACGAAGTTGGTAAAAATGACATGACAGAAATATTTCCGTAGGATTGGTAAGCTCTTCCTGTATTACATGCCCGCGTGTCATACTGAGAGGCGCGACCTTCAGAAAACCTACTGGTGTGCCGAACATAGATCCACAGCCAGCACAGCGGTGGGCACGTCGGGCGAATCGGCTGAACTCGTTCAGCTTACCAAGTACGCTTTCAGCATGGAATGTGCGGTCGCGTCATCGCCGCGCTTCCGGGCATCGTCTAACCGTTGCGGGGCGCCTCACATTAGGACGTCGCTTTGATAAAAGTCAATTCAACGAGCTCGCCCTCCGACTAATGGACCGGCCCAGCCTGTACGCGCTCAAAACCACAAGACTATGGCCTGGACCAGGTAAGCTCCGCTACTCACGTTACATTCTTAACGCTTGATCACATAGCTTACAATTGGAATTCAATATCTCTGGCAAGCAGACGCCGCTCGTTCGCCCGAGTGGAGACAGGCTCGCGAAACTCGATATGCAAACCCTACCCAAACCTCTACTCAATGATTCGCTAGATACGGAAGTCAAACCCACCAAAGCCAGTACTCCTGTTTGAAATGAAGCGCGCGAGCTCTGAGTGCACTGCAGCTGCTCGGATCCCATAGCAAAATGGACGCTCGCTCCAGATAGCACGGATAATGACTCGGGCTCGTTGTTGAGAAGGTTGCCGAGTAGGCCTCATACTAGCTGCGCACAGGGTGGAGGAAATAGGCCGCATTGTCACGTCCATAATGCCCGCGAGTGGATTATACAGTCCGTGCTGACGGCATTCAGTCTAAGAAGCGCACTTGAAAAGACTCAAATATGTGATCGAAGGTGTAACACTTACATCTTCGGTCGTGATTCGTTCGTCGCACAAATTCTCAACACTAAGTATCTCAAGGCGAATGAGTACAAGGTATACGTTTTCAAGATCTCAACTTCTCGGAAGACTGGAAACCTGAGCGGACGAAATCAGCGGGTTGGAGCTCCTTTCGCTCTCTTGTTTCAACACAGTACGCCGGATGATAGCGATCGATCATGTATAACCTGCACATGTGGATATATCTTTAAGAAATGAGACCTCCGGCTCGGAGTTTTCTCAGGTTTTCAGCCTCAGTCAAACGAACTATCTTCAGAGCGTAGATGCATAGCGAAATCAGTGTAGGGAGCGACAGATGATCGGAAGCGGACGGTAAATAGAGCAAGGGAGTATGAGATCATAGGATAGCGATGACTAACGAGCGGCGAGAGGCGAGGCTTGTAATGAAGAATCCAGGGAACTATTACGACGGCGTAGAGAGCAAGAGAGCAAGCGATGGGCATGATGCATCAATGCACAGAGTAATATCCGAAGATGAAGATCAAGGTGATCATGCGGAGCGCGAGCTACTCGCGCTTCCGAAAATGGGCTGAGTCCAATTCACATACATGTTAGAGGCTAGGACGAATCTTTATCGCAAGCAAAACGTACCTGAGACCCGAAGAAAACTCTTCAACGCCCTACGTGCTCGTGACTTTCCAGCTTTGCGAACTTGGGAAGTGGGTGTTTCGGACGCATCGGTCTGCGTGGCCCTAGGCGGAGGGGCCAAACTGGCAACGTAAACTTCGAGTCGCTTGACTTCTGCTTTGATCGAGGCGTGTGTTTTGCCTAACTTCTTTAGCGTCGCGGCGAGTTGATGTTCGACCGTTGTGAGCGCAGTGAGGCGGCCTTTAATGGTCTCAAAATGAGACTGCTCTTCGTCTGAGTTCCGAAAAGCAATGTCAGAGATCACGATAGAGCTGGATTTCCGAATTAACAAGTAGCACGTAGCAACAATGAGCACAACTTGCCCCATAATGATAGTCGGTAGGGCCGGTCACGGTGGAGCGAAAACTTTGGCCCCAGTATGGTGAACGGGGAGTGTTGACACTGGCCGGGATATGAGGGCTGCGAGGGACGAGTTCGAGTGCGAGGAATGTAGTTGAACTTAAAGTGCAAGTGCATTGAGCGCGGAAGGCTGAGAAACTGAGCGGCGTTTTAACTTCTTGATTTTCCCATGTTGGACTACTATCATGAGACTATTCCTTGATGGATGATTGCCGGCCTCAGGGAATACTAGCAGGAGCGACCAAGGATGGCACGCCTAACTCAAGTGGTGGGACTTCCGAAATTCCTCTGGCGTAGCTCGCTCTAGGCATTTCAGAAATAATTAGCATTGTTAAACATGGCCGGTGACCGGCTAAACACTGGCATGGGATAAGTACTCGTCGCCATTGCCCAGAGTCTCGCCCCTTCACACTCTCCCAGAACGTCGCTTTTTCTGGCCCGAACACCATAAGAAGCATTTAAAAGAACGAGCTTCGGACCTCTAACGCTTCCGTGATTTCAGTAAGCAATATTCACAGTGGGCGAGTGGCCGACTGCGGCCCCGAACGTAGTTGCCAAAAGGGGACAAGCGCGAATCTGGCGCCGGGGAACGTGGCCGACTCGGAGCTCGGCGCGCGGCTGATTCACGCGTCCCCCACTCTCTGCTTCCGCCCACCAAGTCTGCTTCCGCTTCTGCGGCGTATCCCCGCCTAACTCGGCGACTGGGGCTGCTCGGGGGAGAACAATGCAGCGTACTTCCCACACACGACGACTGCCTGCGCATCATCGCATCCTCGGCGGCGCTGGTGGGATATCTGTGGCCAGGGCGGGCCACGCACCGATTCCCGCAATCTACGCGACTGTCACTACAAGGCGTCGTCCTCGGGTGTGCACGGTATCCAGGTGGTGAGTGCGCTTGCTCGTAATCTGTCTCGAATCCGCTGACGAGGTGATGCGTACGGCAGGTATCGCCGAGCCCAGCACTCAACAGCGCGTAGTGCAGAACGCGGCCCCGGAGGCGTCGTGCGCGGCTAGCGGCGACTGCGCCTGCGACTCGACCCATCGGAATGCCTCTCCGTGCGACCCAGCTCCCCTAGCGCAGCATCTGCTGCCTCGGGTGTAGACGTCGTGGAGATGGCTGAGAGGGTCGTCGTACGACGTATATCTGCATGCGCGACGACGGGGCCAGACGGTCCTTCGCCGATTTTGCGCGGATGGGCCGTCTCCTGGCCAAGCTACGATCTCGCGCCCGCAAGGTCCACC